CAGAAGGGACTGACTGGAATGTAACATACTGAAAGTCTTAAGAGTTTCAACCGTGGCGAGTTCAAAACAGATACTGAATTGGATTTGTAGAGAGAGACAGCTATTAGCGGGTGAGAGTTGGATACAAATATATCCCCTTTTGACTTTAGTTACAATAAAATTGATGGTTATATACTTTACATGCTTTATATCTGTTGTAGATAAGGCAGAGAAGAAACTGAAGAAATCCAAGTGTGTGTTTATTTTGGGGAGTGAAGATCGCTCTGTGTTGTTGGCAGACATTTGGGATTAGGCTGAATAGAGCTGAAGATTTTTTTGAACCTCTTATTTACCTCCTTAAGTTTTGGATTACAAACTTGAATTCTCTTTGGATCTTCTTTTGGTGATGAGTAAATGGCCACTTGTTGCTTGCTTCCCATAAGCATTCTGCAGTCAGTTAAAAAATGGCCAGTTTTGGAATGCTATAACTAGAGTTAAAGGGTCAGTATTACCACAAATCTAACGAGTCTAACGAGCTGTAGCTGCTTCTTCAGTCTTCTCCTCTTGCTGTTTGTTTTTTTTAAAATGAAAATTAACATTGTCCCAAAATATAGAGCTGTAGGACTGGTGCGATTGCCATGGCGTTTGACACCTTTCCCCCCCAGTCGTGCAATTTATCATGGATAATATGGGGGTAATTATCCCTGGTGACCCCCCATGGCAGGGAAGGGGGGGATTTCTCACCTGCGGGTTGTCCGATATCTGCCACTCATTTCTTTTATTAAGAGTCCTCCTGGTTTAAAGTGATGGTCCATCTAGTCTAGTATTATGTTTCCACTGTGGGTAAGCCAGATGCTTCTGGTGACTTTACAATTGGGAAATGAAGGAATCAGTTCTCTACCTCCCTCCCTCCCCCCTCCCTCCCCCCACAAGATCTAAGCTTTCAAAGGATATGGATTCTAAGTATGAATATTCCAATTTCATTAACATGACTACTAACCCTGTGAAGTTGTTGAACATCATTTTCACAATAATCTCTGTGTTAGAGATACAGGATGAAAACTGTAGTGCTGATGGATCCACTACCAACCACATAATCTGCTCTGGATGGCTGTGTTAGGTTTCTGTTATGCCACTGTGCAGTTCTTGGAGTCACAAGACTTTATTGACATTCCAGAATGTTGGAAGTCCCACGGGAGACAGATGTTGATGTTACTGGTTTCCTCTTTCTTTGTGTTCAGTTTGTTTTTTCTCACAGAAAGCAGATGCATAATCTTTTCTGTCTTACGTAGTTAGAAATAATGTAGCAATGTAGCACATATTTCTGGCTCTTTCTGCTGCTGTCTGATACTCTGCATGAATGGAGAGTGTGCCTGAAGTTTCATTCAAAGGCTTAGGTCATTAATCACCGTTGGAGGAGAGCCTGGATGGGTTCCGAAAATACAGCCGAAGGAGTAGCCATTACAGCTCGGTCGTACGGAAGCTCCAACAGGATGGAGGGCCTTCCAGATCGGGGGGCGGGGCAGAGAGAGAGAGAACAAATGCTTGGGGAGAATCTGCCTTTAACTACAGTTTTAGGTTTTACATAATCATTTAAATTATATCACTAGTAGCTAATTGATTTGAATATGTTGTCTGATCATCTATGGCCAAATAGCATGGTGTGTGATTCCAGATACGTTGATATTTCTGTTTGTTCTGAAAGGCATAAAACACAAGTAAAAACCATTCAAGGTAGGCACAGAGATCTTGAGCTTCCTATCCTTCCTTCAGTCTGTCAGATGGAGTGAATAAAGTATTATTATTAAGTAGAAACATGAAGAGTTGTAGCCAACACTGCACAAATGGAGTTCCACTCATGCAAAAGGTCTTCCCTTGACTTACCTATTCCCACCAAATCAGTTCCAGGTGGTCCTGCAACACTCTGGAGCAGCTTTTGAGGGTGCACAAGAAGCTGCAGGGGGAAGAAGAGTACATGGAATTCCATTTTGGAAGTAGAGGCCTGTTGCATGAGTGGAACAGCAATGTTGGATGCAAACTAAAGTTTTCCTAATGTTTCTTTGGGGTGTTGCTATTTCCTTCTAATTGGCACCCTGTCATGTAACTACGTAACTGGCTGTTGAAAGGTAGTTGTTGCTGTTATATTGATAGCCACACCCCAGGTTTTCAAAGGGCCCTGAGCTAAAAAGTGTTGCCTAAACCATTTGCGCTTCAATGACCTTTCATGCCTTTCTCTCAGATGGTGTTCTTGGAGCATAATTACAGTTGCAGGAAAACCTTTTATATGACTTGCCACAAGGGGTGTGCAATTCTAGTGTGCATGTTTTAAAAAACATTTATAGAGAACTACAGTAAAAATCATAACAAGATTCTATGTCAAGACAGGTTGAATTGGAACATGGAAGGAAATCCACTTAATAGTCTGTTTTCCATTAGTTCCCTACTCACCACCCAGTCCCCAAACATTAAAATAGGAAACCTTGACACAGCCATCAGTATATAAATTCCGACTCTTCTCATAACCTCATAAATAAATGTTCAGATATTCAAACGGCTCTCTGAACCAATCTCTTTATAAAAAACCAACATTTTGAAGAACCCTTTATCTCCCTTAGGACAGCAGAACATAAGCAATGGAAGCAAATCTGTAAAATTCCAAAGAGAAAAATGAAACAGGAATGGGATCACCTCAATCAGCCATAGGAATTTAAACCGGAAGTTCAAACTCTGCCCCATTTTCAATGGATCCTCCACAGGGTCCAAGTTGGCATCATTTACTCAAAAGCAGAGACAGGTGTGCTGGGACTCTGAGAGAAAGAATGCAACTCACTCCCCAGAGAGCAATTTGACTTATGACATCTGTGCCGTACAAATACAATCAGGTTCTCATTTCATTATGATAAAATAATTCATTTTTATTTCTGCTTCCAAGTATCTTTATTATTTTAAAGGAAGAAAATGAGGACAAAGAAACAAACTACATCAAAAAGAAAAATATTACGTAGATAATTATCTTAACCACTCATATCTGTTTAACATTATAGCTAAATTATATCTATTCTTATTCCCCAAATACATGTCATTCCATGCCATAATAAATAAGGACCATGTCTCCATCCAGCTACTAATAGGCACAGCCTCCTCTCTTTTACAAAATGTGAGTTCTAATAATGTTACGATTTTTCATATTTCATCAAGCCATTGTTATATAAACGATGCTGTGGTTTTCTTCTAAGAGTTTGCAGTTGCTGATTTTTGCTGCTATTGGCAGAGTTATGACCATTTCCAGATCAGAATCAGGTACCAGCAGACTTTTCTTTTTTAAAAAAGAAATATATCAGAACATACACATATGTACTGCCTGTTGACCATCAGCACCACAGCTGCTGAATGTATGTTGAGTTGCAGTTTTTTCTGTAGCAAGTATGGGTGTTGGGATTTTCACTCCTCTTCTTCAGTTTTCCACCCTTCTCTGTACAACAAACATGTTTTGCTTTTCATATTTCCCCAACTTGTGCTCCCCTGTTCTAAAGCTTTTGTGTTCTTTTAGAAGCCATGTTTTCCCCACCCACATGCTTCTTTATTATCAGTTACCCCAGTTGCTCCCTCAGTTGAGAGCCAGTGTGGTGTAGTGGTTAAGAGCCGTAGACTCGTAATCTGGGGAACTGGGTTTGAGTCTCCGCTCCTCCACATGCAGCTGCTGGGTGACCTTGGGCTAGTCACACTTCTTGAAGTCTCTCAGCACCACTCACCTCACAGAGTGTTTGTTGTGGGGGAGGAAGAGAAAGGAGAACGTTAGCCGCTTTGAGACTCCTTTGGGTAGTGATAAAGTGGGGTATCAAATCCAAACTCCTCCTCCTCCTCCTCCTCTTCTTCATATGGACTACAAATCCTGCTGGTACTCACAAAATGGTGACTTAATATAAGTCAGAAGATATGGGGCAATAGAGGGGCATGGCTTCTAATTCTTGCATTAAATGAAGCCATTGCATGTAGTTTCTGGGTGTGCATGTAATTGAAAGGCATCATTAAGAGCTGGATCCTGGCATCCTTTACATGCTAATCAGGAAAGGCCAAGGGCAAGTTTGGCTTATGCATATCCTGATTTATTAAGAGTAAGCAACTGTTTCAAAACACCTCTCTTGGGTAGTTTTGAGTTATACATTATACAATACACATGAGGTTACCAGTAGTTGCTGTATTGATTACAGTCCTTTGGAGAACCAGTGACCGCCATAACTCTCTGGAAAATTCTAGAAGCAGATTCACCCCATGGAGTGATTGGGAGGTGGCTGCCTCTCTGTGTGGTTGCTGTTGTCATGTGATCAGCTTTCTCAGAAGGTCCATTGTGCATGTCAACCACATTTGCAAAGTATTCTTTTTCATCTATCCAACATTAACTCCATATGCCTGGGTGGCACTGTGATCTAAACCACTGAGCCTCTTGGGCTTGGTGATTGGAAGGTCAGCAGTTTGAATCCATGCAATGGCGTGAGCTTCCATTGCTCTGTCCCATCCCCTGCCAACCTAGCAGTTTGAAAGCATACCAGCACAAGTAGATAAATAGGTACCACTGAGACGAGAAGGTAAACGGTGATTCCTTGTGCTCTGGCACTTGTCCTCTGTGCACCAGTAGCAGTTTAGTTTACCTGCAAATTGATCATTGTACTCTTAACTGCTGTACTAAATGATCTGTTACACGTTGACTAATCTTTTATTGAACTGAGACTGCAGTCCTATGCCCACTTGCCTTGAAAGGTGCCACACGGAAGTCAGTGGAAATACCTTCTGAGAAGTTTGCGTAAGATGATATTGGGAGTTGGGCAATATTGAACCAATGATATCAATTAGAGACAATGTTTCTTTTCCTTCCAGGAATGTGTTGTCTGTACTTGGTGAAGAGTGGCAAGCTATTTAAGCCGCACTCTCCGCCTTTTCATTCTCCAGTATATGATATAGGTTAAAGCTCATATTCTTTAATCCAGCTTTGTGGAGTCCAGTCTTGTTCTTTACCCTGAAAGATGGATTTGCTTCCATGCACATCAAGGATGTGGCTCTTTATAATGGGGGCAGGCTTGGTCCAAGCCCTTGTTACTTCAGGAATATTTATGAAAAGAAGAACTGTGCACCCAGAAGCTACTATGGATGTTGTAAGCCACCTATCTGTTATTCTTTTGTTTGCTTAACTCAAGGCATTTATGGTTATTAGTGCTGCTTAATTGTGCTATATTCCACATACCTGAAATTTGTTTTTTATGGAATGCTGGGATTGCCAGGGGCAAGGAAATGATGATGATGGTGATGATGATGATGATTTTGAAGTATGTACCCTGCCCTCTCAATTGCATGATTGTTTTTTGTTTTTTAAGCATTCCCAAAGTAGCTCCCCACATCTGCTTCATGTAACCCCAGCACTCTTTGGGCTTCATTTAGGTATCAGCAGTAGCAAGTTTAGCATCTTGCCCTATGCATTATTATTGCTCAACAGCATGAAGAAAAATCTTTAAGTGGTCCACAAAGACCTTCAGCAATTTTCAAGTCGTCCAAGAGGATTGAGTGGAGTTTGGGATACATTACTATTAAAGATGTACGGTAGTCTTCTGTGTCCAGGAGTTTTACAGTCCCAACTGTCAGAGAACTGGACTTTCTGACAAGCAGCGAAAGAGAAGGCACAGAGGAAGAGGGGAGGAGAAGCAGTTAGCAACAGGAATTTGACCTTTGTAGACACAGAAACGAAGAGACACAGAGAGCAGGAATTCATCTGCAAGGCTCTGATAGTGACACAGACACAGAAATAGAGAGAATGTACTCACCCTGATCGTGTAGACTCATAAGATTAGCCGAGAAGCGTGAAAATTACAGGAAGTGGAGGTGGGGGTTTTCCTGTTGGGCGAAAAGGGGGCGGAGCTCAGTCCCGACAACAGTGGCATCGGAGGAAGACTGAAATTAGTGGAGTTCCAACCAGGGCTTTTTGTTGAACCAATAAATCTTAATTAATCAACTGCCGCCTTCATCTCATGTGTGTCGGAGAGACCCAAGCCTTACACCAACCAAACCGTTCTTTTCTCCCCTGCCACCAAGGGTGAAATTATTTCTTTCAGAGGATATCCCAGTGAGACATATGAAGTGGTGACAGATGATGGGTATATCCTGAGTATTAACAGAATTCCTCATGGGAAACGAAATAACCGGAAATCGGGTGAGTGTGTTTTTTGAGGTATATATTATGTATACATGCAAATACTGTGAGGACTTTTAATTTTTTTGTTAGAAAAACAATAATTTCTTGCTTTGGAAACTTTTTACTTATTGCAAGAAAACCTTATACCAGATGAATCTAATTTATTTTTCTGATGGAGTTTTTGATGGGGGTACAAGTCTGGTGGAACAAAGGAATGCTATGGACATTGTGTAAGGTTTTTGACAAAGTCCCCCTTGATATTCTTGCAGAGAAACTGGTAAAATGAGTACAGTATCCAATGTCACTAAAGACAGAATTGGGATTTGAGTTGCTATTAACAGATTGGATAACTGGCCAGAACTTTAAGTAAGGATTGGGCGGCCATCTATTGTGGATGCCTAACGAAATGAATTTCAGTATGGACAAATAATAATAATAATAAATAATAAATTTTATTTATATCCCGCCCTCCCCAGCCGAAGCCGGGCTCAGGGCGGCTAACAACAATAAAACAGTACAACACAACACTCTAAAACGATTCATTATAAAATCAATTCAAATCAAACCAATGGCAATGGCAACCATTGGGCCAGAGCTCCACGAAGATTGCCGAAGGAGGGAGTCAGGCTGTGCCCTGGCCAAAGGTCTGATGGAACAGCTCTGTCTTGCAGGCCCTGCGGAAAGATGTCAAGTCCCGCAGGGCCCTAGTCTCTTGTGACAGAGTGTTCCACCAGATCGGAGCCACAGCCGAAAAAGCCCTGGCTCTAGTTGAGGCCAGCCTAACCTCTTTGTGGCCTGGGACCTTCAAGATGTTTTTATTTGAAGACCGTAAGTTTCTCTGTGGGACATACCAGGAGAGGCGGTCCCGTAGGTACGAGGGTCCTAGGCCGTATAGGGCTTTAAAGGTTAAAACCAGCACCTTAAATATCATGTCCTGCACAAATATAAAATTGGGAAAACCTGGCTTACCAGTGGTACGTATGAAAAGGATTTAGGAGACACAGTATACCACATGCTGAACATGAGTCAACAGTGTGATGCAATAGCAAAAAAAGCTAATGCTATTCTAAGCTGCATCGACAGAAGTACAGTCTCCAGGTGAAAGGAAGTAATAGTGCAGCTCTATTATGTCTTGGTCAGAGTACACCTGAAATACTGTGTCCAGTTCTGGGCATCACAATTTAAGAAAGATATTGACAAATGCTTTGGAGTGTAGGACCTGAACCAATGGCTTCAAGTTGCAAGAAAGAAGATTCCATCTAAACATCAGGAAGAACTTTCTGATGGTAGGAGCTGTTTGACAGTGGAATGGACTCCTTTGGAAGGTGGTGGGCCTTCCTTGGAGGTTTTTAAGTAAGGATTGGATGGCCATCCATCGTGGATGCCTTACTTGAGATTCTTGCATTGCAGAGGGTTGGACTCTATTATTCTGTGTGTACAGAGGAGGATGGCAAAGATGATAAAGGGTCTGGAAAACAAGCCTTATGAGGAACAGTTGAGGGAATTGGGTCGGCTTAGCTTAGTAACTAGGAAACTGAGAGGAGATATGATAGTCATCTTCACATATCTAAAGGGCTGTCCCATGGATGATGGAGCAAGCCAAGGGATTCAAATTATAAGAAATCAGATTTTGACTAAACATCAATAAGAACTTTCTTACCATAAGAGCTGTTGAACAGGGGAACAGAGTCCCACAAGATGTGGTGGACTATCCTTCCTTGGAGATTGTTAAGCAGAGGTCGGATGGGCATCTGTCATGGATGCATGCATTGCAGGGGGTTGGACTAGTTGATTCTTGGGGTTCCTTCAACTCTAGATAACTATGATTCTATATGCGCTTCAGCCATCAAGAGTGAGTCACTGCCTGATTTTTTGATATTTTTTTAAAGGAGAGGGCTAACAGGGTAAATGTAGACACTGCCAGCTCAATTTCCCAATGTAATTATGTGTGTTGTTTGCAGCTTTTCCTTGGGTGAGGAGTTCAGTCTGATGAAAATGTGGTAGGAGAGCTTGAAGGCATTGCCTTTGTTAAGCTTGATTAAAGGATGATCTGAAAACTGAGCAGCAAAGGTGGTGCAATGAAGGAAGGGCAGATGGACTGAGCCTCCTGCTTCCAGTGCTAAGCTCCATTATAAGTCAAAAAAAAAAAAAAATTTAAAATACAAATTGCCCAGTAGCACCTTATAGACCAAGTAAGTTCTCGTATACGATTTCGTGTGCATGCACACTTCTTCAGATACATGCACATGAAAGCTTATACCAGAACAAACATAATTGGTCTATAAGGTGCTACTGGACAATTTTTTTTTAAATTTTACTTATATTTCAATTGCGTCAGTCCAACACGGCTGCCTACTTTAATCTCCTTAATCAGGTTCAAAGATCAAGCAGTAAATTATTTCAGCTTAATCAACACTCTAATCAATACTTTAACAAGCGCTGCTACCTACGATTGCTCTACATAGTTGAGCTATTCACATGATACCAGATAGATGAAAGCAATCATTCACAATATTAAGGCTAGTGTTCTGATTCCTCATATAGTACTTTTAAATCAAATGTGATCAATACTGAACTGATGATTTATGTTGGTTCTTAAAAATACCTCTACCTTGCTTTCCATATTGCATTTAGAAGATACTCATTCCAGACTGAAATTCCAGACATGTTAAATTGCTGGGCTGCTCTACATCCCACGTTTATAGTAGGCGATACACACTAGTGGTCAGTGAGGCAGAACAAGCGGGGCATCATTGTTCTCTTGGCTTCTTAACACCACCATCACTGGTGATTATTGGGAAGGAGAGCAGAGGTGCAATGTGAGGAGAGCTTGGCCACGTGAGGCTGTTCTGGGTCAAGCTGCCTGTGCCTTAGATGAAATTGATGGACTATATGGAATTGGCGGAGATGACTGGCAGAATCCGTGACCAGGGAGAAGAGTCGGTGGAAGAAGATTGGAAGAAATTCAAAGATTATTTACAGAAATATTGCAAAATTAAAGAATGTTAGAGTGATGATGGGATTGAAATTAAGTGGCTTCTAGCTGTACAGGTTTTAAAGTTATATATAGATCAAGATTAAGGATTAGGATTAAAAAGGTTAAAAGAATGGATAATTGGTTTTTAATAGGTAAAAATTTAATGTTATATTATATTAAGATTAAGGATTGGGATTAAAAAGGAGGGAAAGGAATTGCGGGACAAACAAACTGAATTGAAATACAAAAGAGGGAGGTATGAGGAAGTCCGGGAATCAAGTAAATGTAAAAGAAGTTATGAAAAGACGGAATTGTTTTTAACTGGTTTTTTTTCCTCTTTTTATCTTTTTGTATTTTGTATTTTTTATTGTGTATCTTTCTTTTTTCTTTTGAAATTTCTCTTGTTTATTAATGTGATTTTATTTTTTCTGAAACTTTAATAAATATTAATTAAAAAAAAAACAAGCTGCCTGTGCCTTGCCCTTCCCTTCTGCATCTTATTGGATGGAGACACTGAAATGACTTATTGTAGCTATGCTTATAACTATTAACTTTTAGGTCCCAGGCCTGCAGTGTTCTTGCAGCATGGCTTGCTTGGTTCTAGCAGTAACTGGGTGTCAAATATGGACTACAACAGCCTGGGCTTTATATTGGCTGATGCTGGTTATGATGTTTGGCTTGGAAACACCAGAGGTAACACTTGGTCCAACAAACACACCAACTATACTGAGAAGCATCAAGAATTCTGGCTATTCAGGTAGAGTGAGCTTTCTAAACCTAATTTCTTGTTTCTGGTTCCTAGTTTACCCTTTGGGGAAAACTTTAATTAGTCATGCTCTTCCTAGTGGAGCCATGTTTTTCCACCTCCTCTTATAATATATGATATGGAGGTATAGAAATACATTTCCAAGTAAGTAAAATTGGTAGTTGTTCCTTTAAACAAACAAATAACTTGTTTGTTCCTGGGGGGAATATGGTCTTGGTGAACTCCATAGATGTTAGCAGATCAGCTAAACTTCAGGTGCAATTAGATTTGATCTGGAAAGACTCAATATTGGTCCTTCTGAATCTCTGCTGGAATTTGAAGCTCCTCAGACAGACATGGGTTGGAGGGAAAGCAGAGTCCTCTCCTGCCCACAGCATAAATACTGTTCTTCCTGAAAGTGATATTTTAAAAATATTTTTGTTCTTGTATTGCACTGGGCAGAGAACAGGGCATTTTAGGCTTACACAATGTAGATCCCACTGCATATACACGTCTGTTAAACATAGGCTGTTCCTTTTTCTTTGCAGTTTTGATGAAATGGCTAAATACGACCTTCCAGCTTCAATAAACTTTGTCCTGAACAAAACTGGTCAGGAAAAAATATTTTATGTTGGTCATTCCCAGGGCACCACAATGGGTAGGTTAGCAAGATTCGTAAACACATGCTGGCAATTCTATTAGCTACATACTTATTTGTGCAGCTGCTGTTGTATATTAAATTCAAGAAACATCTTGCTCATAGTACAGTGATATTCCATGGAACCTATGGACACCTATGGAGAAGCATCTTGAATAACAATCCCTGCATTTGGGTTTCCTGCATTTTCCTCCTTAGTGATATTTCCCATATAAGTGATGATTCAAATTGGTTAAGGGGCTTATAAAAAGTGGTTTGTCTGGACTGAGAAACTGTTAAAATCCTGGGTTGTAAACCAGTATCAAGCCTAGTTTGCAGTCAGAGTTTAGGTAACAGTTTCCCAGTCTGGATGTAACAGCAAGCTATTGTTTAACAACCTCAAGATGAAATATCTTAAGGCCCCTGAGACAAGAGGAGAAGAGAACTTGTTGGCTGAACACTCCTTCTTAGTCTGATAAATCGTAGTTCTCTAACCAAACCGGTTTGAAATTCACCTCACCTCTGACTCTCACTTCATGTTTTATTGGTTCTTAGTACAGCCTAGAGTGGCTTGAGAAACCTAGCTAGATGGGCAGGGTATAAATAATAACATTATTATTAATGATGTTATTAGCCACAGAATGTATTACGTAAGTGAATTTACGATTATTACACCACTGAGGAAATATATGCAGCACTAAAAAGTTTTAAGTAGGTCAGAAACAAGGCAGGGCGTTTTCTGTTGTAATGCGCAGATTATAATGCACCATCCCTAGTAGGGTTGCTACCAGCGGTGGAGTCTGCCTGCCTCCTCACACTCAGCCGCCCTACAGCTGGGGGGAAGGCAGCAGGTGGACCGTTTGGGAAGCACAGAGCCTGTGCGCGCTCAAGACACCTCATTTCTCCCAGGAGAGACGCGTGGCTCGGGCACGCTGCAGGCCCCGCAGTGAGTGCGGCCTGGCATTTTGTCACTCCCCTCAGTGGTGACACCCGGGGCGGCCCGTGCCTACCTCACCCCCCCTTCCTCTGGTTGCTAGGTCAAGATGATCCCAGAGGTGGACCCCAGTGATGTCATGAACAGCTACTCTTGCTCCACGAAGTACTAAAGTACTATGAAGGGGTTGAACAATAGTGAGCCTGGAGAAGCCAGTATTAGGTGCATTTTCAGCTCTGCGGCTGGGCCCACAATTCAATTGCATTTTGTTTTAATTTGCTCATTGCAAATAGCTGAAAGTCTCTAAATTTTGATAATGAACCCAATTTGCAATGGGGGTTGAATAATTTCATTTGCAACTGTAATTCTGCCTTCAATCCAGATTTTAGTTTGGTAAAATGCTCCATTTCCTTAAACACTCTGCTCCCTCTTCCATCATGTCATTGATTTCTGTTTTGAAAAGGAATTCTTGGTGATTTCTTTGCTTCAAACTAAACTAAACTAAATAATAAACACCTCCTTTAGTCTAGACTCTGCAGTCTCCACTTCTGTCAATTTTTGTCTTTACATCTTTTTTATACCTACCGCCCACTAATGCATCTTTCTTGATGGTAAAATTTCCTTGCCGCCCACCAGTGTTCGATGGAAGGAGAATTCAGCTTGTGCTGTAGAACCCCCTACCGCCCACCTGGAATCATGAAACACCCACTAGTGACCTAGTGACCCACTAGGGACCAGGTTGACAACTCCTGGTCTAGACTCTCCAGTCTGTCAATTTTTGTCTTTGCCTCCTCTGACTTATTTGAGAGCCATCCAAGAATTGCTCTGGGGTTTCTTTTTGAGGGGGGGGGGGCAGGAAGTCTCAGCTATGGCTGTTACTCTTCATGTGCTCTGCAGCAATACGCCTTATGTCAACCACATATGCACACTCTTAAGGCTCTCCTCCTCTTGAGCCCAGCTCAGTTCCTTTTCTTCCTCTGCTCTCCTTCCCACCACAAAGCCCTGGAGATGGAGGTTAATGAGGAGAGGGTAGAAGTGAAGGAGGGAAGACACCACCCCCCCCCCCGCGCGTGCGTGCGCTCCAGAGAGTCAGTGTTACAATTTACAGCCAGCTCTTGCTGAGCTTAAGCTTGCAATCCCCCTGGAGGGGACCGGGCAAACCTGGAGACTAGGTCAGCCCTAGAGCCCTGGCAACCCTAGAGTTCTGGTTTGCTGCTTCTCTTTTAAACTTCTGGCCTTTCTATTCTGTCAATTTTTCACTGTGATTTCATGTGCCTATTCCACTTCATTAACGCTTTGCAAAGCAATATGTGAGGTGAAACACAACCATCCTTCCAAATACACCCTTCTCTAGACTTTGAAAAGAAGTTCTGCATCCAAGAAATGTGCACAAAAGTCATATACTAGGGTAAAAATGCATGAGTGGAAATATATACAAAAAAGCATTATATTTGGAAAAAGTGCTTTGCAAAACTGTGGGTACTAGATAAGATGGCAGACAAACCATGCAAGCTTCAAGAAAATTGCTCTAAAATGATTTTCATAAGCACTTAAAAAACAGGTGGGGCATCATCACCATCATTTTATTTGTACGTCGCCTTTCCACAGTTAAAACAATGCTCAAGGTGGCTTACAATATGAAAAGATTTACATAATTACAAATATAGCAAAGTAGTCATAAAAATAAATAAAACAAATTAAAAACTACATAACCAAACCAAACAATTTCTACATAAAATTACAGATACAAAAAGTTAATACCAGAAACATGGAGAACTAAACTTCAGATTTGCTTATCCTCAGTTTTAGCTACTATTATTGCTGTTGTTGTTTTATTTCACTAATCTTGTACGTCGCTTTGAATTTTTTTTAAAAAAGCTTCAGATTTAATTATAAATAAATAAATGTTTTGACTTGAAATGTTTGAGTATAAATGGTCCCTCGCAGGGCATACAATTCCGTGTACTTGATTGCTTTTGCATTATACGAAAACCGGGTTTAAGATTTTGTTACTGGGTTTTTTCAAGACTACATTGCTAACTCTATTCATTTCTCTCCCCCCCCCCCCAGCGTTCGTTGCATTTTCAACCATGCCACACCTAGCCAAGAAGATCAAGATGTTCTTTGCATTGGCACCAGTAGCCACTGTAAAGTATTTGACCAACACGGCTCTGACCAAACTTGCAATGGTTCCTGAACCTCAGCTCAAAGTACGTATTTTGGACAAAATATGTGTTCAAACAACAGAATGCAAATATTGCTGGATGTAGCTAAGTACCATCCTTTTCCGTCTATGGAACGCCCACACGTATAAGACACCCCCTATTTTGGGGCCTCAAAATTTAGAAAATACGGGGTTTGGGGGGAGGATTATTTGGGGGGAATGCTGAAAATCGCTCACCCACCGGAACGCAGCACACAACTGCTCATGTTGCAGCTGCCCAATTGCCGCCATTAGCTCTTCTGATTCCACTTTCGTAGCTAATAGACAGGTGCCCTTGTCACAGCAAGCAGGAGTGTGATTGGCAGCCTCTGGCGGCAATCGGGCAGCTGATAGGTGGTTTCCGCTTGTGTTGCTGAAATCGCCGCTTACAGTCTCAGGCTCGTGCCAAAAAACCATTCGCCCATCCCTTCTCAGCAGTACCTGTGTATAAGACGACCCTAAATTTTGAACCTCATTTTTGGGTCAAAACAGGTCATCTTATATACGGAAAAATACAGTACTTGGGGATGCCCTTTCCATTTGACCTGAGGCCATTTATAATGCTCTTAGACCACTAAAGAGCTCAAGCTAGTCAATGCTGCAACTTGATAGCACAGTGTCGCTTTGGCTGTTCTGTGCCAGGACTTTTTTGGGGTAAAAAGAATGAGGGGCTGGTTCTTCTCCCTTGCTGTATGTGCCACGGGTTCCAGTTTCTGCTGTGGACAGAAAAAGAAAGGTGTTGGTATTCTGTACTCGTGGATACTGTTTGCATCTGGTGCCCATATTAAATAATTTGGCACAATTCTCTACGGTTCCTAATAAAATTGCCATGAGAAACTTTTCGGTATGGTGGTAGATCACACCTGTGGGTAACTCAGTTGCCGTTAAAGCAATAATTCTGAACAGTTACATGGGAATGTATTTATAACAGTATTGCTTTATTTACAGTACAGTAAGCTTGTGCTCCAGGGATCTTGCTTAACGTCAAAACCAAGTAGAGTCAAAACCTTTCAGGTTCAATGGCAGGTGGGATTGCCAAAGCCCTTTCCCCTGCAACCCTGCAACCCTGCCCCGTTTCCACCTTTATTTCTTTATTTCTTTAAAGTTGCGGACTTAATTCCTTATTAACAATGAATAGCTCTAGGGGAAGAGAGCCATGCTGATCATATTTACAGGCACATGCGCCCATTTTTAGGGCTCAGAGACACTCGCTGATCATGTTGGAGGCTGTTTACTTGGGTCTCCTGTGTTGTCTATGTCTTCCGCCCTGCTGCTTTTAGCTCTATAAATCCATAAAACAACATTGGAGCATGGTCAGTTTTCCCGCCATGTTATAGTCACGCTTGGCTGCTATGCTACACTTCTGTCCTTTTCAGATTTGAGGAATAGCTACTTCTCATCTTCTCAGCCTGGGGATGAAGTCAGGAGACATGACACTAAATTAAGTCACTAGGCATACAATAGAGCAGTAAGGCACTTTTCCTGAAATGACTGGAGAATTGAATGATTTCAAGCACATCTATTTAGCTACTGGACATTTGGCAAAATGGACATTTGGCAAAATGTTTGCATAACTCATGTCTTTTGCATATTTGGGCTCCTACTGAACTAGTGTTCCTGTTGTGGGAACCATTACCATCTAGCTTGTTCCTGAACCACTTTAGAAGGACTCCAGCTGCACGTTGTGTACATGGCAAGATGCACCTGAACTGCATCACGTCTCTTAGATGGCTCTAATTACAATGTCTGTGTCTTAAATATTGCAGAGGATCATAACCTCCAACATTTCTCCTATAAAAAATAGGGACATCTTTTTATTTTATTTTATTTTATTTTATTTATACCCCACCCATCTGACTCGGTTGCCTCAGCCACTCAGGGTGGCTTCCAACATATATGAAAACATAACAAAACATTAAACATTTAAAAACTTCCCTATACAGGGCTGCCTTCAGATTACTTCTGAAGGTTGTCTAGTGACTTATCTCCTTGTCTGGGGGGCTGCAAAACTCCATACTCTTCATCATTTCTCTGCTGAAAATAGGGACATCCTAAGGAACAGTGGAACTTTCTCAGATCAAATCAGAAACGAGGATGGCTTCTGTAAATCTGGGATAGCCTCTGGAAAATAGGGACACTTGGAGGGTGTCTGACAGTGCTTGTGGGATTTGAATGGGTATTCTATCCTAAATGTCTGAGCGGAAGATTCTCATAACAGGTTTTTTTTGTAATATTTTGTTGCTACTCGTTAGAAGTATCCATAGGAAAAAAGAATTGACTAACAAAATGGTGTATGTACTAATGTTTTTGTTTTGGCAGAAAATGTTTGGAACTAAGCAGTTTTTAGCTCAAGACGGAACAATGAAATGGTGTGCTACTTCCTTGTGTAACCGTTTCCCAATGGATTATCTTTGTGGCACTGTTTTATTCCTGCTTAATGGCTTTAATGTGCTAAACTTCAATATGGTAAGATTTCTGATTACTTAATAGGAGTGTGCTCTAAAAAAAAGGTAGGTGTATGGAGGCTTCTCTGAAGTGATTGCTACTTGTGCCATCCATAACTTAATTACACTTAGACAAAACACAGAAGATAACTGCACATTTTGCCTCATCATTTTGTGTCTATGATGGATAGAGATTTATTTTTTAAAGGAGAGCTCAGAGTCTGGGATACTAATAAAAGCCTGTGTGGGTGCCATGGTGTCTCCTGCACAAGGAGCAGTGACATAGCATGGGTTGCCAGTGCCTGCGGCAAGGCAAGTATTGTACACCCTAGCCCCTGGACTGTGTGCTGTGCTTGCCCCATGGAAAGAGTTAAGTGGAGTGGCCAGAGAGACTCCTCTCCACCACCGCTCAGATTCTGGGGCACTAGTAAAAGCCTGTGTGGGTGCCATGGTGTCTCCTGCACTAGGAGCAGTAACATAGCATGGGTTGCCAGTGCCTGAGACAAGGCAAGTATTGTGCCCCCCGGGACGGTGTGCTGTGCTTGCCCCATGGAAAGTGTTAAGTGGAGTGGAGTTACTATGTAAACATGGATTCCTGTGTGATATCCCGATGTTGAGCTCTGGTGCACTGCTTTTGTTCAAACAAACCAAATGGAAGGGAAGTGGCTGTTGCAGTTTGTGATAAATTCAGCTAATCACTTGCGCTTTCTTACAGAGTCGAATCGATGTTTATTTATCACACTTCCCAGCTGGGACATCTATCCAGAACATGCTTCACTGGACTCAGGTGGCACCAAAACCCTCTCTTCTGTTTAAAAACAGTTTTCTATATTGATTGAAGAATGGGTGATCAGGACAGGCTTTTACAAAGACTTTTAAGAATGAAATGAATAAATACGATGAAAAGAAAAAATATTTATAACTCAGCCTGTCTTTTTACATACTCCAGAAATATGTTTTGTTTTTATGAAAAAGGATTTAAAGCTGAGAAAGTTTTATTGTGTTTAAATGTTTCCAAACAGGAGTATTTCAAAAGCTAAGGATACAATAATATCCCCAATGGATTTGTTTTTATTGTCAAAATAGTCCCTCTGCATGTAGATGGACAAAATACTACATTTCTGTGATATTTTACTGAATTGTGTCTCAGTGAAGAACCCAGTGCTACTGGAACCTTTGCCCACCTGATTGGACTACAACTCCCATCAGCCAGGCCACGCTGCCTTGTGCTGATGGGAGTTGTAGTCCAAAGCATCAGCATGGCTCCAGGCTAGCAAAGGCTGTGTCTTCATATCACTGGGCAGGGAAGGCAGTGCTATGATTTGGGAGCACATGATCTTGAATGCAGTAGAACAGAACAATCTGACAAAGAGGTACAAGTCACAGACTTGTAGCACTAAATAACATGGGTTTTTTTTTTCTCCTATCTGCGGTAGAAGAGGATATTAATGCTTGTTTGTAAATGGTTTAAAAGAATAAAAGGAGAATTCCCTACATGCCTTGATCCAGGTTTGGGGCAAATTCACTTTGGTGAGGGAGCCCCAGCAGAAATTTAAAATCACAAAACATGGAAATATAGGCTGTTAGAACTTTTAAATATCTCCCTTTAAGATGCTTCCAAAACTCCCCTTCTTTCCCTTAGCATAGAAAAAGAGCATATGTTTGGTAAGTTATAAATGGTTTATTTACAGAGTCATGTGCTTTCCCATAAGAGTTGCAAGAAAAGACAGGCACTTTAACTAAGTGTCATCTGAATTATTTGTATAGAAACACAAAGTTGGCTTGCTAAAGCCATACGGTAGAAGCTTGGAGCATCTAGCTAAGATGTCCTTTCTGATTGGATTCACAGGGTGGAAAAGAGAATGAATAATGTCTTTGGTAGCCCTTCCTTCCAAAGTGTGGGGGAATGACCTAGTTAAGCCTGGCTGGACTGTCTTAAACCCATCATGCTAACCCATAGAGCTAAACATGCTGGTTATTTGAGGCTCATATATCCCACAATCGAGTTGTTTCTTCCCAGCCACTGCTTCCCTTGAACCTGCTCTCTATTTTGGATCAATTCTGGAGAACCTTTTTTTGCTCCACAGGCCCGATTCTTATCAGGATCAGTTTCACGTGCAAATTTCAACAACAGGGTGGGGCATCCAACCTGTTCATAATCTATTAGATGAATCAAGGATGTCAAAGCTCCTTGCAAGGTGCTCCTTCCAGATTCCAATGCAAACCACTTTAGTAACTTTAGTAACACTTCATTTCTAGTAGGACACGTGTCAAACATTCTCGAGATATCAGATAAACTGAGGAGGCGTAGAAGGTTGAGCAGTACTAAAAAACAGGTCTACTGCTTTCAAATAGCTTTGTGTACCTTTTTTTTGTATGTTTACATTAACTTTTGTTCTCACTAAAGATGAAGTTAGACATTATTGCATAGCCTTAATCATAGCATGGTTTTTGACACAGTCAACATCCCTGTTTATGCCGGTGCCACGGTCTATTCATATAGCACACTTCTATATCACCTGCTTTGCCCATTTGGTTTTTCAAAGTATGGCACACCTCTTTTTCAGATTGTGAAGGCTGGGAAGTTCGAAGGCTTTGACTGGGGAAGCAAGGAAGCAAACATGGCTCACCACAACCAGGTAAGAATTTCTCACAAATTGAGTATTTCTCTCTGTAGGTGTTTATATGAGGGTAGATACTGGTAAGGCTTGGCCACAGGTACTCGTGGCAAAGGCTACTGCTCATAAAACACATGGTGGATAATATGAAGTTCCAAGGTAAAATTAAAAAGTCAAGGGTAACAGACTTAAATGAAGTTTATCACCAGGTTCTACATACACAAAATTAAATGGTTGTTGTGCCCATAAATATATTAACTTATTTGTTTACGTAAATCCAAAGAATATTTCTTAAAGCCACAGAAGTGTCCGCCATGTCTTCTATTCTCCAAAGGGACACAAACCCTGTATGGGTGCCTGGGACCCCATGGGCTCTTGCCACCACTCGGCAGTGGGAGGGACGGGCACCTGACTTTTGTCACAGTATGCTCACCAAATCAGATCCAAATAGCACCTTTGTTTATGTGAAGTCAAAAGCCAATATGTTCAGTTGATACAGCTTTGTACAAAAAAAATAAAATAAATGGCAACCATCTGTTAAAGCAATGCATACAACATTCAAAAATAGGAACATATGCAAATAAACAAACAAAAACACAAACAAATGGAAAAACTTGCCCAAATAACATTTGACAATGCAGTGGTCATGGGTGGTTTCAATGAACTCACGTAAGAGGATCTGCTATTACTTTACGAACAATAGCCATTGCATGTATAATCAGGTTTCTGTTTCCCTCTTCACTGAGCAGCAGCCGCAAGTCATGGGACTATGTTTTCATTCTACAGTCCAGATACTGTTGGGTTCCCATGGGAAAGGGAGACGGGATGTGACGTACACTGGTTTCCTGTTTCCTTTGTTCTGTCGTTCTTTGTTGGAGTTGCTCTCTGCTTCTCACAGAGACAAGATGTATATTTGTATGCTCTCTGCATAGCTTAGGAATAAAGCTTTTAGCAATGTAGCACCATACCTGCCTCATCCTTTCGTTGCGGACACTGGATGTATACTCTGCAGGGCTTGATCCAAGATGAGCCGTATCAGCTCCAGATGGGCCGGAGCTGAAAAATTATAACCTCTAGCTCCATTTCATAAAAATTCCATGCATTGTGTCAATACAGTGACAATAATAATAACTGGAATGGCAAGAAATGTGGCATAATTTCCAATAAAGGTACATCTTCAACTTGTTGTATAACAGTCACCCATTTTATGTTCTCCTTAAGTCCACCAGGTGCTACTGTTCTTAATCTATAGATTCCTCTCTCTCTCTCTCTCTCTCTCTCTCTCTCTCTATATATATATATATATATAATATCGTCCAGTAGCACCTTAGAGACAAACTAAGTTTATTCTTGGTATAAGCTTTCTTGTGCATGCACACTGTGTATCTGAAGAAGTGTGCATGTACACGAAAGCCTATACCAAGAACAAATATAGTTGGTCTCTAAGGTGCTACTGGACATTTTTAAAAATATTTTTATATATTTCGACTGTGTCAGACCAACACGGCTACCTACCTGAATACAGATCCCTCGTATTTCCTTCCTTTTAAATTGTGTCTATAATTGTTTCTCTGAACCATGTATGTTCTCAAAGCACCAATACTTTAGATTTAGCATCACTCTGCTCCTCTATACAATGTTTAAGCAATGACACATTGAGTTTTTTGGTCCTTATGCAACTTTTGCATTCCCCTGTCCAGATCTTAATCTTTCTTGTGGCCATGCCAGTGTGTGAGGGCATTATCTTCATTAATCACTCCCTTGAGTATTGTGGTTGTATGCTTCATTAAGGTGGTAAATTTGATTAAAATCAGGATTGCTCAAGGAATTCCTTTTACCACCATTACAACTCCAACATGGGAATTATTTGGCGCAGCTTGATAATATCTAGGGGGTTAAAGAGGTTTTGGATTTACTTTAGGATATGCCAAAATATCTCTTAAATTTGATGCACATTTACTATAGGGAATGGTCTCCAGATTCCCTTGAGAATATCTAATTTCTATATCCCAAAAATATATCTCAAATGTAATATGGGGATGTAAATTTGTTGACAAATCTGCCATATGCCAGGTGCCTATCTTCACTCCCCTGTCATATAATGAAGATCATTTTTTTATAAAGCAATACATCACACCCATGAGGATTGCTTCCATCCTTTCTTTCAAATTTATCCCTCTATACATTAGCTAACTAAGATATAAGTCTGGTTCTAACAGCCATACTTGAAATTTGCCAGAAGAGTCTGTCTTGAAACTGCAATCATGTTTCTTCAGTGCTAACAAAACTGGAGCAGTAGGAAGAATCACTGTTGGGAATAATGATGATAGTTGGGAATAATGAGTCAAAGACACTGAGCTGGTTTGTAGGTAACGCTAAGCCAAACCAAAGCTTGCTATGAATGCTGGTGTGGAAGAGCTTCCTGAGAGGAGAGCCTGGCCACTTCACCCTTCCCTTGACTCTCCTGCTGTTGCGATTCTGCACACTAATCCGTAGTTTGGTTTAGCAAGTTGCTCAACCCAGGCATGTGGCTTGTCTTTCTCAAGACACTGCATGAGTTGTAAATACGAGAACAAACTTTGGTTCCATCTTGTGGTTTGTTTGGAGTGAGACAAACCATGAGCATGGCTTTGTCCTTAATGCTAAAGCAGCAGTAGTGAGACCAGAGAAGGGTCAAAGTGTCTGTGCACTCCTTTGAGGCAGAGTGCACATTCATGCTCAGTCATAGTTGGGCTTAATGCTACATGAAAACCATCTCATTCTTTCGGAACAATCAGTAAATCCAGACAATCAGTGCTGGATTTACAGCCAGGCAGAGCGGCCTGCAGCCCAGGGTCTCGGCCACTTGCCATTAAAAACAAACAAACAAAAAAACAAACAGGCAGATGTTACTATCTAGGCTCAGTTGCTTAGTAACAGTAAGGACAAGAACAAAGTTTAGGTACTCAAAAAATCATAGAATCATCACATAACAGAGTTGGGAAGGATCACAGGGGTAATTGAGTCAAACCCCCTACAATGCAGGACTTTTCCCCCCAGCATGAGGCTGGAACCACAACCCTGAGATGTAGATTGACCAGGCAATCTGCACAATTTCCTCTTAATGGATGGATTATGTGCACTTTCTTGCACAACTTCTGATGAATGCCCAGTTGTTACGCACATTAATGGTTCAACTCTCAACTTAGATATGTTTGTGTTTTGCAAGTGTGCGTGTTTGAACAGGAAGTCTTTGCAGACTGTTTTTAAACTTTTTTTATCTTCTCTCTTTTAGTCAACACCACCTTTCTACAGTGTACAACGGATGACTCTTCCAACAGCTGTCTGGAGTGGTGGTAACGACTGGGTTGCAGACTCAAAGGACATGGCCCTCTTACTGCCTCAGATCCCAAACTTAGTTTACCACAAGGATATTCCTGAATGGCAACATCTGGATTTTATCATAGGCTATGATGCCCCACAGCACATGTACATAGAGATAATGGATTTAATGCAGACTTATAAGTGAATGTGAAATATTCCTTCAGAACCCATCACTGTCAATCTGTGTTGATGAAAAGCACTACAAGATTTCTTAAGATTCCATTTCTCATACAGGTTCATCACAGTCTCAGTTATAAGAAAGATTTGCTTAGTAACCTTGCCTTTTCTAATTCTGTCAGTGACCATGGGTGTTCCTCCGTTGTTTTAGGAGCGGCTAAGATTCTTTGTTGCTCTTGCTTCATCATGCTGTGTAGCAGATTCTTGTTCTAGTACAGCATGCCTATTGAGGGTAGAAAAAGTACTTGTGGTGATATCCAAGTCTTTTCCTTTGAGGAACTGGTCCAATTCCAGTTGTTTCCCAGCCTTGGGATCTATCTGCTCTGGGGTAGAGTGCTGCCTTTTCTTAGCTCCCTCAGCAGTTTCTGGTCTAATCTCTCTCTCCCTCTCTTCCTCTCTGCCGCTGAGTTGTGAACTTTAATTTGATTAGTTTCTCTCTAGATTGGAATCCTCCCTTAGTTAGCAGTTGTATTGCTGGAATTTTCTAGTTAGTTTTTCTTATCTCTAATTATTCACTTTGGATAGCGAAAGGGGAGAGAAGCACTAATGACAGAGGAGTCTCTGTTGGGATATGTCACTCGCATATTTCTTAAGAAAATTCACCCTGGAAAGCATTCCCTACCTTCCCCTTCTCTCCCCCACCTCTCTCTCTCCCCTTCAACTCACAATGCCTACGACAGCAGTGTCTCACACCAAATGTAACTAACCTGTAGAAAAGATGGAAAACAGAAATGCTATATGTTCCTTTGTTATCCATGAAAACCCTTCCATAAAAAAAAAAAATAATTGCTAGGATGTCTATGTGCAGTTTAGTAATCCCTCAGGGAATTAAATGTTTGCCCTCCTCAGAAGTATTTAAATCCATACATCTTTAATGGGGGTATTGAGATGCAACTTAAGTTGCATTCTCATCACAGTAGTCCTGACGAAGGGAAAAGCCTTTAAGTCATTAAACTTGCATAATAATGTATATATGAAAGTAAATCTGATCTTCCCAAATTTTGTCATGGAGAGTGGGGTTGTTAAAACCTTGCTAACATCTGTGGTAACATGAAATCTGCTTTTAGGAAGCTTTTTAGAAACAAGATATTGGGTAATAGTCAACTAGGTTTTCCTCAGAGTAGACTCATTGATATTAATGAACATGTCCAAGTTGGATACTACCCCACTCCCCATAACAGAGTTAGGAAGACCAGCTCTCATTCAGAGTGCTCCAAAGCAATAAACCTTCGTCTTGAAAGCAACACGATGTGTCACGCTTACTTAAAAATTGGCACCTTGGGACTAAACACCATTTACTTGGAAATTATTTTTTTAAAAAAAATTGTATTGATGTCAGTCCCTAGTTGTTGGAATGCAAGATTTGACCATGTATTAGAGTGTTGTCCTCGGTGGACCAGGGCTGAAGTTTCCACTCTCCATAAATGCAAAGAGAAGCATGGAAGCAACAAGGAAGACAAAGGGGGCACATAATTCTTCTGCAGTGCTGCTACATTCAGTCCAGTAAATATTGCCACTGCAAGGGCCTAAAGTGACATCCACTCCCACCCTCCTTCTCTTCTATAGCCCCTCCTTTAACCCCCCCAGCCATTTACCACAAGCACAATTGCTCCCGACAACCTTCCTCCAACCTATATTCCTCATCTTTCCTCCCAATGCCTCATCTTTAATCTCCTCAGTGCTAGAAACACCACCTTCCAGATCTACTTGACCTCTTCTCAATTCCTCCTCCTCTCCAGCTTTCTCTTCCCCTTGACTCCCAGCCAGTTCCACTGTTCTCTCCTCCGGTTCCTTCTCTTTCCCTTCCACCCATTACCAGCGGACTAAAACTGCCATATTAACCTGTTCTCGCTTGCCTCTCTCTTGCCCCCACCGTCACACTGTTTTCTCAGAGCAACTTCACCCCACCCCTACCATTAGAACCTTGGATAACAACCAATGAAAACAGAGTGAAGACACCTTACAATCGATCTACTGTATTGGCCTGAATATAAGCCTCACTTTTCTTCCAAATCCCGACCGTGAAAAGTTAACGTACAGCTTAAATTTGCAAGCTTACAAAAATGGGCTTTTACGATATGATTGCTGAAACAGACATACGGTAAAACGGAATGAGTGTGAGTGCCTGTGGAATTTTAAGGGAGCAGCTTATATTTGAGTATTGTCTTTTTTCTCTCCCCCCCCCCTTGAATTTTAAAGGTGTGGCTTATACTTGGGTGTGGCTTATATTCGGGTCAACACAGTATATACACCCACACACCTATAAACACCCACACCCACCAGGAACCATACTTGCAGTTATGAAATAATGAAGAAACCTGTGCACTATGCATAATAATTATAATAGTAAAAATAAATAAATAAATAAATAAATAAATAAATAAGTTAGTTAGTTAGTTTATTTATACCTTGCCCTCCCTGGCCAAAGCCTGGCTCAGGGCAGCTAACACCAATAAAATTACAATAAAAACATAATAGAAAAAATAAATAAAGCAACTTAAAATACAGGTTAGAATTCAATTTAAAATGCAGCCTCATTTTAAAAGTAGCCCATAGGTCAAAACTGTAAGGGGAGGGAAACTTAAGGGTCAGACTGAGTCCAAACCAAAGGCCAGGTGGAACAGCTCTGTCTTGCAGGCCCTTCGGAAAGATGTCAAGTCCCGCAGGGCCCTAGTCTCTTGTGACAGAGTGTTCCACCAAGTCAGGGCCAGTATTGAAAAGGTCCTGGCCCTAGTTGAGACCAATCTAACCACCTTGCGACCTGGGACCTCCAAAGTGTTATCATTTGTAGACCTTAAGGTCCTCCGTGGGGCATACCAGGAGAGGCGGTCCTGTAGGTACGTGGGTCCTAGGCCGTATATGTTTCTAGGTTTGGGGGGTTTGGGAGGGTGCTGGGATGGATCCAGAATTGGCCCCCACAGTCACTTACGGACTCACTGTTAAAACCGTGTTTATGGAAGACAATCTTACTCTGTTACGAGTGATCGCCAAAGAAGAAGGAAGAAGGAAGAAGGAAGAAGGAAGAAGGAAAAGAAGGAAGAAGGAAGAAGGAAGAAGTTTTCCTGTAGATATGATACTCTGGAAGGATCTCTCCAAAAAAGAGATGGTCAGACAATCACTTTTAGTCACAAAACCACATGGAGCAAGAAGCTGTACAAGACCAGAGAGAAATAATGCAATTACTTGGGTATCCAAAATGTCAGAATTTCTGTAGCTTTAATTTCAAAACAGATGACAGGAATGTCTATAAGAATAACCAGTTGTGTCAGAAATGCTTGACAATTCAGAACAAGTGGTTTAAATTTTGGATCCAAGAGTTTTTATTTTACATTAATTAATTAATTAAATTTCCGTACTGCCCTTCATACGAGGAGCACAGGGTAGCTCACAGCATAAAAACACAAAAATAGTAGCAAGTTATTTCCTAGTGCCCACTCCTCAGTATCCAGGCAGTCCCTGGAAGTTCCTAAACATTGATCCACTGTCTACAAAGGAAGACTTTTGGGAGTGTTTAGACATCCCTGTGCCTTGTTATGCATCAATATTAGGTAAAGATAAATGATCCTTGGATGGTCCAGTCGAGGGAGCTGGCATTTGTCCACAGATGACTTTCCAGGTCATCTGGCCAGCATGACTTAACTGTTTCTGGTGCAACGGAACACCCTGATAGAAGCCAGAGTGCACGGAAACTCCATTTACCTTCCCACCACAGTGGTACCCATTTATCTACTTGCACTGGTATGCTTTCAAACTGCTAGGTTGCCAGAAGCTGGGACAGAACAAGGGGTGCTCACCCCGTCAAGCGGATTCGAACCGCTGACCTTCCGATCGGCAGGCCCAAGAGGCTCAGTGGTTTAGACCACAATGGCCCATTTCCTTGTGCAACCACTCTACACCTGCTAACCTCCCCATCCTTTTAAATAACTGCCTGTTCATTTTCTCCATCAGGTTTCCTTGACCTAGGTTTTGGTAAAGAACACGTTCTTTGGTACCTAGAAAATGTCAGTAATTGTGATGCTAAGCTCACACTGTTAACTCTTTTGTGCATTCTTAAATCAGAGGTGGGGATGGAAAACCCTTCTGCATTTCTGAGTTGGGGGTGGTGTTAACTCAGTACTCTTGCTGTCAACCTCTGCCATAGAAAATTGGTGGGATTAGGATGGAATGTATAGTTAATTAATGTAATGTATCTGTATTGAATGAAATGGGTTGAGAAATGGCCTCGGCCCAGTATTCCTGAAGTAGTGTCTCCACCTCCATTGTTCAGCAAATTGAGGTCCAGCTCTGAGGGCCTTCTGGCGGTTCCCTCACTGTGAGAAGTGAAGTTACAGGGAACCAGGCAGAGGGCCTTCTCGACAGTGGCACCCACCCTGTGGAATGCCCTCCCACCAGATGTCAATGACATAAACCATTTGACTTTTAGAAGACATCTGAAGGCAGCCCTGTTTAGGGAAGTTTCTAATGTTTAATCTTTTATCGAGTTTTTAATATTCTGCTGGATGCTGCCCAGAGTGGCTGGGGAAACCTAGCCAGATGAGTGGAGTGTAAATAATAATAATAATAATAATAGTAATAATAATAATAACCTCCATACAATAGTGCCATTTCATCAAGACCTCCCTAAGCCTTCTCCTAGCCCATGTAACCTCTCGCTGTCCCAGCAGTGATCCAATGGAAAAGTGGTACCAACAAACACAGTATAGCAAGCAAGTGCACTTACAAAAGGGGGGGAAGTGTTCTGCAAGTCCCCCCCCCCTTTGCTCATTGTTTAATTTCACACACACACACACACACATATATATATATACACATATATATTCTTATCAGGTAAAATTTATACCTTCTTACTATCTAATGCATATGGTAAAACTAAGAGAGAGAGGGGAAACAGGAAAGAGAGAGGCAAAAGAAAAAAGAAATGGGAAAGTATAGAAAGAGATAAGGGAAAAAAGGAGGACACATAGAAGA